CCATTCATACATCCATTCATTCATCAACATATCGTAATTTTGGCCTGAATCAGAGAACGATCGATCTCCAATCCNAGATTTAACGTGCATCAGTCACCATTTACTACACGGGGAGTCTTTGGTCGGTTTGGGTTCGAACCCACGAACTCTCGAACATGGGCCCAGCGCCCTACCGACCAGGCTATTCCGGCCCTATCTATGTAGTTATCTAGCAATAAGATTTCCTATAACTTTAAATTTAAAATGAAAGATAAAATCTTCTGAAAAAAAAAACCCTGAAGAATTGGCAGCTATACTATGTCAGAGCTGCCAACGCTTTTTGTAGAAACTTATTCCAGTGGTAGCTATGTTTATGTTTTAATGTATTATTATTTTATTCATTTAAACTTATTTTCCACACTACTACATATAAATGATTTAGAAGTTCATATGCAACACCACTTTGTTTCTGCTCTCTCATGGTGAGGTTTCATAAATGCTGACAAAATTACCAAAAATTCTTGAAAGTTATGGTCTTTAAATGGCTACCACTCTATAAAAATTTTGGCAAAAAGCGTAGTAGTTGGCAGGCCTGTTATGTGGACAATATGTATATTTAAGAATGTTATGCTCAAAATGTAAGATGAAACTGAAATTTATATCAGATTATTCATTTTGCGCTTATGCTCTTAATGGATCAATATCAGTTTTCAGAAACTCTAAAGGACGTTTTTTTAACCCATTCACTTATCCTCAAATTATACGGATGCTACAGGAGACTAAAAATGCAAAAAGTGGTAGAAACTCAATTCATTTATATTTATTTATTTTTTCTTTAATTATTTAATCGTAACTTCCACTAGGACTTACATTTCAAATTACTTGTATTTAAAGCAAAACATTTTTTAACTTCACATTCAGTAATAAACTGAGAAACATATGCTGTGAAAAAGGGCAAATTTTGATCTTAAATGAAATTCTGAATTTTATTAGTCACTATAGAATTTTGCTACTACTAACTGTCGTTGTTTTGGAGGATATTTTTATTAGTGGTAGCAAAAATTATGTATTAAAATTTGAAGAAATTGGAATAAAAGAATTATTTTAACAATTCATGAGAATAATTTAAACAAATCTGTAACAGATCAAATAAATAAAGCAAGGTGGCTGCAACTGAGTTGTACAGAAAGACTGAATGAAAAAAATTAATTCATTGAAAGCTACCTACCAAGATGTATTTGTAAAATATATCTAGCTGTTAAAACAACAAAAAGTGAAATAAACTTTTAGAAATTTTTAACAGTATCATGAAATATTTTCCCCAATTTTTAAATTTTTACCGGTTGTGGCTACCCAGTAAATAATGTTCAAGTTAAGGTAAAAATTTATAAAAATTGATCTTAAAAATTTCGGCTTTGTTGACTACCATTGTAAAAAATATTTCAAACGTTATGCATTCTCTACTGACTCCGCGTTACAGCAACTTTTTGCAGCAAAATGAAATTTACGGTTATGAAAAGAGTGTTAGATAATTACAGATTCAAATAAATAAACAATTTATCCTAAGACTTCCACTTCAGTTTTAAAAATACTGCAAAAACAGAACGAAATGTTTCTACATATATTGCTAATGTATCTTGGTGTCTTTGTTTCACGGAAATAATTGGAAAAAGAAATAATTATAAATTACCAGTTTTTACTTTTTCTGTTAAAGTACATAATAATGTAAGTTTTTTTTAATAATGAGGTTAATCAATTATGTCTTTCATTCTTCAAAAATCAATATTGTACATATAAAATCATGCTTTATCTTTATTTTTAATTTAAGTCTACAATCAATATTTCTAATGTTNAATACAACGTATTTTTCTGCTTACAATCGAAATTTTAATTCCATGTTACTACCACTGGGAAAAATCATAATGGAACATTTTTTATGGTTACCACAATGTTTTGCAAATCAATGTATTCTACCTTACTGTATGTAATTTAATGATGAATGGGATAGGGGCCCAGTTTATTTAAATAAAGAAAAGAAAGAATAATGAGGTTAAAGCAATGTTTTTCATATTTGCAAAACGATTCCCCGATTTTTAGCCAGATTTATTTTCTCAATTTTTACACTTTGTATACGTAACTAACTAAGATAGGTTATATAGATTATTTAAAATTTAAGAAAATCTATTAATGAACAACGAGTAGATGAATCAATAAACAATGAATGGGCAGGTTAACAAATGAGCGAATCATTGAATATAAATGAGTGAATGGTTGTATGAGTGACTCTATGACTGACTCAACTAATTAATTGCTGAATCAATAAAAAGTGAATCTACGAATTTGTGGTCGAATTGACGAATCCATGAATCAGAGGCCGAATAAATCATTGAAATAGCAAATCTTCAAATGATTCTCTAATCAGCTATGCTTTACTTATTCTTCAATTCACTGTATTTTTGAACTTTTTTTGTTGTTGTATACATTGATTCGATATTTCATTTGCATGTGGACCAACTAATTTGTTCATTTTGTAATTTTTTATTCGCCGGCTTGTTTTTTAACCCACTTGCTTATGGCTTTTATAAATGAATAAACTTATTCATAATTAAACATCATAAATCAACCTTGCACTCGTTGATTCATCAATTTGCTAATTATTAAATTCGCGCAGTCATTGATTCGCTGATTTATATTCTCTGATTCAATTTATGTGTATTTCAATCACTAATTGTTATACATGTCGTAAAAAGGCTTTTTAACTAAATGTTACTGTAAACAGTCGACCTAAACGACTATATAGTTCTAATCTCTATAACATGAATGTGAATTTACGGGTACTTTTCGACATTGCGCATTTTTAAAAGAAATCGTGCATAAATAGGAGATTTTACTATTTACGATAACATGCAAAATGATCATTTCGCTAATGACCATTTATTGACGTTGCGGAGTATGTTTGCACAATTATTAGAATTATTAGATGCAAGCTACCGGTATTTCTAAAATATATATAAGAAAGTTTCTTTATTAATGAAATTCTGGTAACTGGTAGCTTGTGTTTAAGAATTACGAAGACTAGAATAATAAAACTTTTAGCAATTTAATTAACAATTAAAATTTTATAGCATATCTGCCAACTCTTCCGGATTTTCCGGAAGATTTTATTTTCATATTTAAAGTGGTAGTAAATATATATTATTTTTTCTTTTATGAACTTAATTTTTAAATGATTTTGATCACCACTATTCTTACAAAAATTAAGCACATATATTAATATGCGTTACTATCATGGTTGTCAACTTAAGTATTTTTAAATGCAACGTATTTGTTTGCTTAAAATTGAAGTTTTAATTCCATTTTAATTCCACTGGGAAAAATGATAATGGAAGGGATTTATAAGTTGGCAGGTATGTTATAGTAATTAATTAATTCATATTTTATTTGTTGGTTGATGGACAAAACAATTTTGGTTTCTTATAATTTTTATTTTAGAAGTTTTACTTACTTATGTTTCATAAAAATATAGTTAGCAAAAAAAAAAGAAAAGGAAAAAAAAGGACATTTGGAATAATTTTTTAGGAATGCTATGCGATTCTTAACTAAATAAAATAAAATCTTAATCTATTCATAGAAGCATATGCCTCATTTAAAAAGGTATGAAAAAAAAAAACTTTTAAGTTTAAGTTGTGAGGACTCTGAAATAAAATTATTCTTTTAAAAATGTAAAAGAAAAATAAACTACCCCACACAAAAAAATGAAACCGTTTAAAAATACGCCAAGTTTCAAATCTATCATTAATGCCGAAAGCCAAAAGGCGTTCGTTAGGCAAATTTAAGGCATAAAAGTCTTCCAAATTCAGCGTGATAAGCATTCAATCTGTATGAAATACGCGAGTATTATTTCTCCTCCCGTAATATCAGAATTGTCGTAAACCTGTGACATGATTGACGCAGCAAATGAAATGCCGAAGAGCGCTAAAAATCGCACAATCCCCCCCTCACCCACAATCCTTTCTGGTGCCTTACGCTTCGCTTTTTATTTTGTGCCGACGCTAATCAAAAGCATCAAACAGATCCAAAGCTCCGCCCCTTATCGCGCCCCGACATCCCTCGCGCCCTGCATGGCCGGCACTCAAATCCGGAGCGACGTTCCTCAGATCCGAACGGCATCACTCTTCACGCCGCGCCTTCTCCCAACGAGATCCGCTGAGTGGGAACACAACTACAAAGTTATACTGGCAATGATTTGTTAATTGTTCTGCAATTATTTTCTTGAACTGAAGTGATTTAACATTGCAAACGATTTTTGATGCCGTATATTTGTATTTTTTTTTTCGCAAGCGATATATAGCAATATTTTTAAAAACGAATTCTTTACTTTTAAAACTGTTTTAATATTGCTTTCACAGTTTAAATATCTAATTAAAACTATTAAATTATTTAATTTAATTTAAATTTTGTTATTAAATATTTATTTGCTCGAAAAAAAATTTTTTTGCAAATTTTTTTAGAATTTAATGTTAGAAAAAAGCAAACGATATTATATTTTGATGGGAGAACAGCAAAGGAATTCACAAATTTGTTAATGATTAATTTAAAACGTAACTTGTAAAGTTCCTGATTTTTTTAAAAAAACAAATATTGATTTCAAAATTATGTTTTTAAAAGGCTTTAGAACGTACAATCATTTCAATAAAGTAATATGAAATTAGATTTGGAAAAACTATATTAACTGTTCGAATAATCAGAATGAAAATAAATGAAATAAAAATATCCACAATAATGAGAAAAATTTTACTTTCCTATAACTCTTAACTGCATTTTGAAACAATAAACATTTCGAGTATTCTCTAGCACATTTTACGCTCAAAGAGAGAGAAAAAAAGAAGTATATCTTATTGAAGAAAATGGTTTTTGCTTGATAATACTAATCGATTGAAATCATTCGAATGATTAAATAAATATTTTTCTGGAAAAATATTTGAGGACTATATAAAAATAGTATATCGACATAAAAAAGAATGACAAGACCTTCTCCGTCCCCTGATAAAGTTAGGGGGCAGTTGGAAGGAGTTTGCAGAACAGGATCGTCGTCACCTCCACGTGGATTGGGATTTGGACGAGAAATGGGCAGTGCTTTTCGAGTTGTAACACCTAAACGAGTTGAAAAAGGTAAGTTAATTCAATATTTTCCATAATAATTTTCATTCGTATTCGTAATAGTGACCTTCCACGTGACATTAAAACACGCAATTTAAATTTGCTTTGTATACGAAATAATAACAATAATAATCTCTTTCATAGTTTGTTAATTGACTGATTTAATCAATTGTTAAACGTAGAAGTTAACTGCTTTATTGTTAGTTAATACTGCTGGTTTTTAGGTTGTTTAAGATAGCTGCTTTACATAAGTAAATTTAACAATAAAAGTCTCTCTTTTATTTCGTTTCTTGACTCAATTAATCAAGTGAAATTCAATGCCTTATTGATGAGTATTAGATTTTTTGGTTGTAAAAGATAGATGCGTAAGTAAAACCAACAATAAATGTTTCTTTTACAGTTCGTTTGACGATTAAATTAATCAATTGATGAACTTAAAAGTTTATCAATTGATTAACACTTAAACGAGTTAAAAAAAAAGGGTAAGTTAACATTTTCAATAACAATTTTAACATTGTGTTCGTCATCATAATAGTGACCTTCCACTTGACATTAAAACTCGCAATTTAAATTTGCTTTGTATACGAAATAATAACAATTATTGCCGCTTTCGTTAATTTCGTTAATTTATTCGTTAATTGACTTTAATCAATTGTTAAACTTAGTTAAATGCTTTATCGTTAGTTACTACGGTTAGTTTTTTGGTGGTATAAAATAGCTGCTTTATATAAGCAAGTTTAACAATAAAAGTATCTTTTATAGTTCGTTCGCTGATTTAACAATAAAGTAATCATGTGACAAACTTAGCAATTCAATGTCTTTTTGATAACTATTAGATGTTTTGGTTGTAAAAGATAGTTGTGTTAGTAAAACTAACAATAAATGTCTCTTTTACAGTTCGTTTGTCGATACAATTAATAAATTGATAACTTTTAAAGTTTAAAATGTTTTTTTGATAACTTTTAGTCACTTTTTTGGTCAATAGGTTAGTTGTTTTATACAATAAATCTAACAATAAATTTAATTAATAAATTTAGTTGGTTGATTAATTAAGCGATTGAAAAACTTGGAAGCTAAATTCTTCATAAATTAATTTAAGGTATTCTTTTTTGGTGATGAATTAAAAAAATGTATAGCATGAATTAGATTTGGAATTAAAATGAAATTGTGTGCCTTAAATACAGGTGCAGATATAGTTTGTTTTCATTTAAATTATAAAACCAAATGTAATTTAAGTTTAGCATTTTAATAACATACTGCTCTGTAAATTAATTTTATTTTTCTCTGCAATAGCATTGAAAAAAACTTTTTTTTTTCATTTTAGCCTTGAAATCTTTAGTATAAACAACAATCCTCTAAGAGTACTGCGATATCAAACTCCATTTTCCTAATATTTTATTATTCTGTAATATTTTTTAAATAGACCATAGTAGCAATAGTTTCAAAAATAATGAAAAATAATAGAAAAGGCTATATCTAGAAATATGACTTTTTGAAATAAAACGAAGTTTTAGGCATAATTCAAATTCCCAGATCAAAATAGCCTTTTTCATGCCAATATCAGCTGACTAGTTGCACCATCCAGTTTTTAAATGTATCTTTTGAAACTATCTTTAATAAAAAATGCATTAAGTAATTGTTGTTGATTTTATGTATGAAGTGAATTATGTTACTTTAAAACTGTTAATCTTGATCAATGCGTTTTTGTTTTAAAGCAACAATCGTTTTTTGTCTTCATTCGTTTTGTGACAATTTAATTGTTATTTCTTAAACGTTTTGAAGATTCCACTTAAGATTGTACGTTATTCATTTAATTTTGCTATCTATATATAATTTATGCAAAAGAAAATAAGTAAATTTCGATATGCTTTGCTTGGGAATAATACGAATAAGTCAATAAGTTGAATGCTTTATAATATGACATTTAGTTTATTTTATCTCATCAAAAATCACATGTGAAATTTGCAAAAAAATATTTCTCAAAAACTGTTGAAAAATAAAATTTCACAACTGTTTAGAAAAAAGACTGGTATAGAAAAATGAACTATCAAATTAACTATTAAATAGAAAAACTCATAATAACTACACTTTAATTATGCTACTAGTGTTTAATAATCTATAAATGAATGCACATTTCTTCTCGCATTTTGCAATGTGTGTCAGCACTTGGGATTTATAGATCTTAAATATCTTATTCCATATTAGTCTTTAATTTTTTCTTACTTAAAAATAAGTTGAAATTAGATTTTATGCAAAACTTTTTTTCGCTTTTATTTCATTTTGGTGGAGTCATCGTTTTTCACGATTACGTCATTTCTTTGTAAGAATATCATTATTGTTTATCAGGTCATTTCGTAGTCATTGCTTAGGTCATTTCTTATTTATTATCTCTTATTTCTTATTTAAATCATTTTGATTTTTATATGATTAATTTCATTTTATGAGTATAAAACCAATTTTTCAGAAACTTTCTTAAAAGAATTTTTTTTCATCAAATAGTTTCTTTGATTAAAAATCCGAAATACAGGTTAGGTAAATATTAGAGGTTTGATACTAAAGAAATATTTTCGATTAAATTATTTCTCTAACAATAAGTTTTTCTTAAAGGTTTAAAAATTGTTTGAAAACTAACTAACAAAATGATTAAATCAACAATTTGAAAAACAAGAGAAGAAAGGGTATAGTACTTTGTGCTATTATAGCTAACGCAAAAGGAACATGAATAAAGTACAAATGATTGTACAATAAATTGACATACTATAGCTTTAGTTCTATAAACAAGAACCTTCTTCAGTATCTGAACGTCAAAAAAATGAATTGTTTTGAGGAATTGAAAAAGAAATCGATTTTTTAGACGTTTAGACACTGAGGAAGCTTCTTGTTTATAGAACTGAAGCTATAGTATGTCAATTTATTGTACATTCATTTGTGCTTTATTCACATTCTTCTTTGCTTTAATTAAAAAGGATTTAATTAGATTAGCATTTTTTCTCCTTTCGAACAATTTTAGAGTATTATTTAAATGAAATACTTTGTTAAATATGAACGCAAGTAAGTTAAAATTTGGCACAATATAAAGTTTCATGAAATAATATTATCTTTCTAGAGCGATATTTTAATAACTATTGGGATTCTAAGCGTTTTCTTTATTGTAGCATTAAATGATTTTTTTGTGTATATTCTTTACTCCAAGTAGAAGAACGCTTAAAATTTTCCTACTCGGTTATTTTCATTTTTTTAGCTTCTACTGTTTAAATAATATTTTAAATGAAATCATTTCATATAGTCAATTATTATGTTTCTTACAAAGACTTATGTTTTGAGATAGTTCTGAATACGTTTGATAATCATCTTTATTCGGGTGAGAAGCTGAAAATAATCGATTTTCTAAATGTTTTGTAAATTATTTGGAAATATTAAAACAAGTCATTAGTTCTTTAAAAAATGAAACGTTAGTTGTGTATAAAAACTGGTTAAATAGTTCTTAAATATAATTTAAGCAATTTCTGCCAAATGAATGTGCAAATGTCAGGTTGGCTAAAAGAACGGAAAAATAAAAGTTTAAAAAAATAATTGTTGTAATATTCGATAACAAAAATTACTTAACATAGAAGTACTACAACTACTTTAGAACGATTACTTTATTACTAAACCCATGCATGTTAAAAGAATAAATACTTCGTTGTGTGACAAATCGGTACTTCAACTATTGATGACACTTGATTATATTAACGTTTTCAAAATTGTTATTTTAATTCTATCAGCAAAGTAAATGATTCGGTGTAGAACTATAGATCATTTAAATGTAAGGAACTTAAAATTGCAATGTATGGCCAATGTAGGGCTGTCAACTTTCAACGTTTTTTGTAAAATTTTATTCTAGTGATAGTTACGTTTACGTTTTAATGCATTATTTTTTATTAATTTAAATTTATTTTCCCCATCACTACTTATAAATGATTTAAAAGTTAGTTGACAAAATTACCGACAATTCTGAAAGCCTTCATTTTTAAGTGTCTACCACTCTATAAAATATTTTGCAAAAAGCGTATTAGTTCTCCAGTCTGCAAATGGGTTACGAACGACGACTTCCTTATTGCAGGGCTACCAAGTGCTACGCTTTTTGCAAAATATTTTATAGAGTGGTAGACACTTAAAATTAATGTCTTTCAGAATGTTTGGTAATTTTGCCAATATTTTAAAAGCCTAAACATGAGTGTGGAACAAAGTGCTGTTTCATGAAAACTTCCTAATTATTTTCATGCAATGGTGTAGAAAATAACTTTATACAAAATGTATAATATAAAGAATGATATATTAACCTTTTCGAGACGGGAGAGTCATATATGCATTCTCAGGATAACGACAATCTGGGTAAAAAAAGGTAAAACCGGTATCTAAAGTATTTTTATAGAAGTTTACTTATGTGTGGGGTGATAATAGTTTACTTTATTTAATTCACCAATACTTAGTTCAAATAAAAAATTATATAGTTACACTTTTAAGAGTCTTTCAAATTAGCTATTCCCGAACTTAAGAAACAGCTTTTTATTTTTTGCCATCCTGATTCTTATTTGTACGAATACATTGATGACCCACCCGTCCCGAAAAGGTTAAAAGTTACCATTTGTACACATGAATATTTTTGAGGAATTTATGAATTATGACCTAATATCTCTTCTGCCACTTCAACTGCTCTGGATTGTCCCACATTGAAGCGGAGAGTAAAAGTTACAAAAAGAGAGTTTTCGGGAGGAATAAAATAAGCTTTTACCATTCTTAAATAAATATTATTCATCACTTTTTTTTTCCGTTGAAGAAACAGTCCCATGTAAACTTTAAAAAAAATCTTGATTGTCATGAATATTTACCTCTTCCTGCACTAAGAACAAAATAAGTATCATCAAAAGTATCAGAATATGGTGTAGAATGGAAAAAACAGTTGCAGACGCAAACAAATGCCAGGTTTCAACAACCAATCGGGATCGACATACCCTCACTACGTCACTTGC